TTCAAGGTTGCATCTATAGCATTGCACTTGAAAAGAAATTGAATGTTTAATCCTTCTTGGGATTCTGTCATATTTATCCTCAGTTGACTTAGCAAAACAAGGTAAGCGTCCTTCCCTAATATGGGGGTAGGCTGCTATGGGCTAATGCCTTATTGTTGCTCTTTTCTAAAGGAGCCATAAATTGTGTGAGAAAGCCTTTATGGCTAGTTTTAGAAAGCTGCAGTACATCTGTAGCAGGGGTGGGTTTCAGGCGGTTCGCGGCGGTCCCCAATATAGATATAGATAACTATATCTCTCCCATACTCCATAAAGCCCACTGTAAGGTAGTTATGCTCCCTGCTCAGGGGTGGGATTCAATTTTTTTTTACTACTGGTTGTGTGGGCATGGTGTAGTTTGGTGGGCATGGCAGGAGAAGGATACTGTAAAATCTCCATTCCCTCCCCACTCCAGGGGAAGGATACTGCAAAATCCCCATTCCCTCCCCACTCCAGGGGAAGGATTCTTAAAATCTCCATTCCCACCCCACTCCAGGGGAAGGATACTGCAAAATCCCCATTCCCTCCCCATTCCAGGGGAAGGATACTGCAAAATTCCCATTCCCTCCCCNACATGTCCACCATATATGAAAATATGTAGCATCAAGAAAAGGAACCATTTTTGACATAGGATGCAGTTAAAAAGGAATTGAGGCAAAGTACTTGTTACTTTTACATATTTTGTATAATGTTGATTTTGGATTGACTTTTTCTGAGCCAGTGCGTGCAAATAGCTGGAGCTTGCATAGAGAGGCCTATCATGCTCGGGACATTAGCTCAGCAGCCGTCAAGCACGTATCTTAGCAGAAGAGGTGGGAATGAAAATAGCCCCTATTGCTCCAACCATGTGTTTATAGGACCACGGATCCTGTAAAAAAATATCTTCCCAAAAAAAAAAAATACAGTGCAGGAAGAACTTTTTAATATCTGCATTTACTGCATTTCCCAAGTCAGATATAACTCACTTCTCCTTTATCCCTGGCCAAACAAATATCTAAATATCAGAAATCAGATTTGCTAGATGGCTTTTTGCTTGGCAAACCTGGCTTCTTGGCTTGGGTGCTGTGAGCAGAGACATTCAAATGATGCTGTACAGTCTCTCGGACTAATTTGTCATTGATTTCTCAACATCATGGCAACGTTTCCACATTTTTTAAAATTTAAGCCCGAATCCAAATTTTATTTTCTGCCGTTGAGAAGTTCCCATTAAGAAGTCCTCATGCGCCATTTGAATTTCAGCTTGAGGGGGGCGTGGGGGAGGCGGGTGAAAATTCTGGATAATAGACAAATGTTTGTTACTATTTTTATTCTGTTTTCTGTCTGGGATGTAATGACAGCGATCCCAGATGCTATTTGTTTCCAGATGGAGCTCCTTCCAGTGTCAAGAAACCTTGATCTACTGCAGCTGTCTTTAAACTTGCCCCTTCCAATCATGTTGGATCGTAGTTCTGGAAATGTTCAGCCTACACAGCAGTGCTTGCTAAGCATTATGGGAGTTGTAGTCTGGCACGTTTCGAGGATGCCCGTTTGGTGAAAATGCCTATGTTGTTCAATAGTTGAAGGAATGATTAAATGATCAATTTAAACGATTAAAGGCCTGGGGACTAAAACATATGAAAAATGGTTGCAGAAATTGGGTATGGCTAGCCTAGAGCAGGGATCAGCAACTTGCAGCTCTGGAGCTGCATGTGGCTCTTTCATCCCTTTGCTGTGGCTCCCTATTGCCAGTCAGCTCCACAATTGATAGGGCTTTCGGTTAGGACAGGTAGAGGAAAAAGGATGCTGCACTAGGAGGAGACTCTATGGTGAGGGAAGTGGACTTCTGATCGACAGGGGGAAAAGATGCCACACTAGGAGGAGACTCTATGGTGGGCGAACCGGCTCCAGAATTGAACGGGGGGCTTCCGGTTAGGACCTTTGTGGCTCTTTGAGTGTTTAAGGTTGCTGAACCCTGGACTACAAAATGAAGGACTAGGGGAGACCTGATAGCAATGTTCTAGTATTTGAGAGGCTGCCACAAAGAAAGGGGGGGGGGTCAATGTATCTTCCAAAGCATCAGTAGGCAGGACAAGAAGCAATGGATGAAAACAAATCAAGGAGAGAAGCAACCTAGAACGAAGGAGAAATTTCCTAACAGTGACAATAATTAATTAGTGGAAGGACTTGCCTTCGGAAGTTGTGGGTCCTTCATCAATGGAGGTTTTTAAGAAGAGACTGGACAGTCATTTACTGTATCTGAAATGGTGTAGGGGCTCCTGCTTGAGCAGGGGGTTGGACTAGAAGACCTCCAAGGTCCCTTCCAATTCTATTCTGATTGAAGATTGATTGACTTATTAAAAATAGTCATGCCAAATGTATTTTTTTAAAGTTTGGTAACAGAGGTGCCCCAGGCCTCCAAAAATGGGACGTAAATGTTTATTATTTTGGACTGAAATTTCACAAATTCACCTGATTTGGCTGCACTACACCAACGCCTTATGACAATTGGATGCTCAAGTGATGAATCTCATTTTTTCTTCCCCCTCCTTTTTTTTTGAGTGTTAGTTCGCTGGGCATATGTGCATATAATTTGCAAAAGGCATCCATCGCTAAAGAAATTGCTAACCAAACTATATTTATACCCCTCCTGCTTTTTCTCCAAGAAAATGATGCATAGTTCTTTCTACCTACAGTCTTACTTTACCCACACAATATTCTTGTAACCTTAGTCAGCCCAAGAGGGAATGACTTGCTTAAGATCACCAGCTCATTCTGGACAAGGGAAGACTGAAATTTGACCTTTCTTAATCCTGATCTGTCACTCTACTGAACTGCCCCTTCAAACAGAGCCAGTTTTGTTTAGCAAATGCTAAATCTGGCCAAGATTTTCAAAGCTTCTCCCAAGAGTCAATTATAAATACAGTGTCTTTAGACAGTGGTTTGCAACATCGTGGGTGGATTTGCAATGTGGTACAGCTTCGCCATTGTTCTTCGAGTCATGGCTGAAGGCCAAGATAAATAAGATTACACTGAGTTGAACTCTGCTTTCCTGGTCAGCAACTTAATTTTTGAACCCGCCGTATTCATGATTTGGTGAATAGCAATGGGATGCCCTCCCTTGGTGAACTTTTCTTATTAGATAATTCAGATGCTGACTCTATTCCTGCCTGCATCTGAGACTTGCTTCTGAAACCCTGATTTTGCAACTTGTGGTGAGAAGATGAGGCACAATTGGAAGCATAAGTCAAAAGTTTGCAATTCGGACACCAGCACTCTGTTGATCAAGAGGAGGTTTTCTCACCATGCAATCCAACCTAGGAAAGCTCTAATGCGCTACAGACCCTGTCATCTTCTTAATGGGAGTCTTGTGAGCAGTAGAATGAAGAGAAAGGACAGATTCCAAAGAAGTGAACCAGCCTTGCTCATGGGCTGAAGAGAGCAACAGTCATCCATAAGCATAACCTGTTTATTGAATGAATGTATTTAATGGCTTTGGAGAGAATTTTAAAGTATAAAATAACCATACAGTATGGTTCGGTCAATATTATAAGCCACAAAAAATGAATCTATCTATCTATCTATCTATCTATCTATCTATCTATCTATCTATCTATCTATCTATCTATCTATCTATCTATCTATCT